TTTTATTTGGATTTAATTTAAGTTAGATTTAAATTGAATTTGAACTTTGTTTAGTTAACCTAATTCAAAAATGAGATCAAAACTTCTATGATTTGACAGCTGACATGAATATTGTTCATTTACCATGATTTGAATTCAGTTATATGAATTTAGTAATCTGATGGGTTGTTTTGCTCAGTGTATGTGTTTAATTGATTTCAAGTTAGAAAAAAGGTTCATGAGTATTAAACTGATCAGGATTTCTCATGTTCTTTTTCTTTTTATTTTAGTTATTATTTTGTACTTAGGAATGGAAGGATATGTTATGATTATATGATTCATTAATATTGTATATGATTTATTTTTGGGTCAATAAATACAAAGGTACATATTAATATTTTGATCAACAGTTTCACTTTTACTGATATTTATATTGATAAACAAAATTAGGTAGCTCTGATTGTTCTTCATTAAAAGATATAAGAATAAAATTTTCAAATTAGATTCCGGTGTATCATATTTCTTTCCTTAAAAATATAACTCTTTTGTAAAAGAAAGATATACATAAGATTAAATCACTGATCCTCTTTATTCTCCGATTCTCTTTTATAATAAATTATAAATATATGAGAGTTAGTGAACCAAAAGTATATCGAAATATTTGAATAATTTAATACAAATTCAATTGAGGGGACTCGAGAAAAGTCTGCAGAATTAGAGAGGCAAAGATGGCAAACTTGTTAGGATCTTGGAGAACTGGTTTTTTTTTTCCAGAAAACATGATTCTATTAAAACAAAAGAAACCGTTACAACAAATGAGAAAATAGGGAAAATAAAAAGAGAAAATTACAATAAAAACGTGAGCTCAGTAGTGGTTAAAGCTTCTAGCGTCACTGTCACCACACCAGGACCGTCCATGGTGGATAAAGCAACGAAATTCGACCCAACTCGAGAGAAAACACCAATGGTTCTAAACCCTAAATCTTGGAGAACTGGTTGAGCATATATTAAAGTCAAAGAAGCTTACAAGATCTAATCAAGCCTACTCACTCAATTAGCAAGCCTAATTACCTAGTTTAAAAGTTAAATCGCTCCAATTTGGGAATCACTTACTCTATACCAAGGAGTATTCATCTATATCCAATCAAGGTTGGTGGCTTCATGAAAAGGTCAGGAGCTTCATTTAGAAGAATAGTGATTTCACTTATGGACCAGTGACCTCAACTGCAAAGAGACTTCTTCCAATAAATTACTATAAAGATTGTTTATGTGTACTTAAAAAAGCTCTAACTACATGCTTCTATGCCTTGTTATGTATTATTCATTTTTTTATAAGGTGAAAAAAATAATTTTTTAAAAAAAATTTGTCCCCAAACCATATAAATCTAAAAATCAAAGATCAATTTTTGCATATACAATCATTTGAGGGCATTTACATTTGGAAATAAAATTTCAAAACTTCTCTCTCTAAAATCTTTGATTTCTTTTCTTCTTTCTTTTTCTTCGTCCCTCTTCTTCTGTCCCACAACTTCACTTTATTCTCTATTATATGGAATATTGCAAGTCTTCGTAGTATTGTTATAACATCGATCATCTGTGCATAAATCTAAGTCCGATAATAATAATAATAATAATAAAATATAATTTATCATACTTTAAAATATCGTATGCTAAGTTATCCTCCATGGCATTTGGAAAAGCCATCTATCATTAAAATAAACCAAGCCAAGATTCTATCATATTATACTTCAAGATACGAAGAGAGCAGATACCCAAAAGCGCATTTAGTATTGGACACATGACCAAACTAACTTGGCCACAGTACTGTATGGATTTATTTAATTAGGTTATATGTGTAATTTCATCTCTTTTTTATTTTATGACTTATGATCAAGAGATTTGATAAAAAAACTAGATGAAAGAGTTGGTCTAAATTAAATTGGGGTCATTCACTAATAAACAATGTATCATCTGAGGCCATCTAATTGTTATCTTCTCATCTCCTTATTTTTCTTCATTTACAACGATCCCTTTCCTGTTGTAAATCCAATTCAATCGAAAAGTTTGTCAAATTATTATTTCCATCATCTCACATCTATTATATTTGGAATCAACTATAAATTAAAATAAATAATATTTATTATTTTTTTTTTCACTTTGTAACTCATATTGATTATTCAAAAAACTGTGAAATTGATTACATTATTATAGTTTATTTTAAATATTGGTGCGACGGTCAAAGAGATCTAGAACTCTCTAAGAAATGTCTTCAAGATTATCTCAAGTACCATGTTCCATACAATGTCATAGGGGTGTCAATATTTGACCTGATTAGAAATCCAACTCAGATATTACATGAAAAATTTCAGGTTCTAATCAACTTGTTTTCCAAACAGGCTGAGTTCGTGTTTTATTTTTCGACCCATTTATAAAATTGGGTCGAGTTCGGGTTGACCCGGAAACACAAAATCAACCCAAGTTGACCCAAGAATTAGCCTGCACCAGAATGTTATCCATTGCTCAAAACTCTGCACCCCGCACTGGCACCACAACACGATACCCCGTTCGCGTTCACTCATGTTCACCCGCAGTCCATAACGTGATCTAGTCGGGTTTGCTCGCAGTTCGTCCGCTCGCATCAACACTACAACGTGTTCCCCTGCACGCATCCAATCTTGTCTACCCGCATTCACCCGCAATACGTTAGCGGGTCGGGTCAGGTCAATCCAATAACGCACATGGGTCAGATTCGAGTTGGAATTTCTGACTCGTCTGGGAAAAAGGGTCGGGTTCTGCTCGTGTCAAACAGTATTAGGTCAACATCAGGTTTGACCAGAATTCGATCAGCAACCCTATTTTGTCACCCCTACAATGTCATTAAAAGTTGTGGCGTATCAAATAGCTCATACGACACTCAATTAGCGATGATTCATGACTTGAAAATCACAAGAAATCATCTTCCCAATAAGCAGCAAGTCATAGAAAAACTTCAAGACTTTGTTGAATAATCAAACTAACATCATGAGTTGTACTCATATTCCACACCATTAGAAAATCAAATATGAATGGCAGTAGACTAAATAAACAAAAAAACAATGCACTGCCACTTATGAAGGACATCTCACACAACTTATATTGATTAGTTGATTGAAAGTTTTGATTATCAATCAAAAGATCTTTGATTCGAAGTTTCTGTATGTATTACATGTGTAAGTTTAATTTATTTTAATTGACTCAAAAAGTCCCCTGCCCACTCCTGAAAAAAAATAATAATAAATCACAAATAGTTTCATAGTAAAAGTACAAAGCAAGGATAATTAAGACTTTGTTGACATTACATTTTATTATTTTTAGGGACTTCTGGTGCTAATTAAGGAAAATTCACATACATATTACAGACACAATCTTGGAACATAATACATCTTCGTTAGCAGTCAAAACCTAAACTAAAATATAATTAACTTTAATATTAAACTCAATTATTTTTAACTTAAATATATAATTTAAGAAAATATCTAATAATTTTTATTAAAATATGTAATTATGCACATATTTATTTACATCACTTTATTGACTAGATATTTGAAAAAATTAATTTAATTTAATTTTTTATTTTAATAGAAAAGAAAAATATCAAACTGATAGCAAAAATAAATAAAAAAGTCCAAATTTCAACCAACGATCAAACCGATATTTTAACTCTCTTTACTCAAAATTCTTCTCTCTTCGTATTTTGTTGGCAACTATCAATATTATAAATTAAAGTCATTAAAATGGCCCAAAAAAAAATAAAGTCATTAAAAAATTAATAATTATAAAAAAAAATTAGTGAGAAACTGATAAAAGTGTTGGAAATAAATCATTTAATTTAATATATTTTAAATATATTTTATATTATTTATTTCTTTCTTTCTTAATATGAGGTAACCAATGGGCTGAAGAGTGAGACAAAGTTGAGCAAATTTGACTTTCCAGCAATCCGCCATTTCTGATTAAACAATCCTTAAAAAAAAAAAAAAAAAAGTCAAGTGGAATCTCCTCTTTCAATGGGAACTGGGAAATGGGAATTCGGCAGAGGGAAAAATTTCAGCGGCCCAATTTCAGCAAAATGCAAACGAGAATTGTCTCTCTCCTTTATATTCAAATTTTTTCTTACCTATTTTTTAATTTTTTAAGTTTTTTGTTATTTTTTATTTTTACTTTTTTTTAAAATAACTTATTTATGACGAGAAGCAATATTTTCTAATCAAATATGTTAATTTAAAGGTTGTTGTCCATATATTATATATATATTATATATATCTATAATTATATATATATTAAATAGAATTTACAAAAAAGGTAAATTTTAAATAATAATATATGATTAAAAACATAAAAAATCTTAAAAAGTTTATCAATTTTGAAATGGGTTTTAATATTAGTTATATATATTATAAATATCCTTACAAATTTTTTTTTAAAAAAATTGAGATCTTCTTTTTAAAAAAAAAATTACATCAAAGTATTCTGACAAAGAAATAATCAAGACGAGCTTTGAAGCTCTTGAATCTATAAGCATATATATATATATATATATATATATTAATATAATATATATATAATATATATATATATATATTATATATAATATATATATATATATATATTATATGGTGTGTGTGTGTGTTTAGAAATCAGGTTGGAAGTTTTCATGATTATATTATAAATTTATATATTTTTTTTTATAAAAATTCAAAAATAATAAAAATAATTCTATGAAATATATAATAAAATTAAAAAGATTTAAAAATATTTATATGCAATCATAAAAATAATAATATATTGAAAACTTTTAAGCACAAATGATAAAAATATTATTCTGTACATTTATCTTCAAAAAAATTTTCACATAATTTGTACAGTATTCTTCTTAAAATAAATTAAAACTTTTTAATTCATTAAAATTTTTTTTATCAAAATCCACTGATATAATTTTTTCCCCTCAAGAAAATGAACTTTTCTTATCACCATAATTCCACAACCGCCCACAAACGAACATTTACATAAGATGCAGATAACCTCTGAACTAAAACCCCCAATGTCTTATAGCCAATCCACCCCATAAATCTCGCCCCTCAGCAAACTCTCTGCTCCCGTTTCCTCGGCTCGCCGGCAGGCGGCCAACCATGCATCCACCGCCCCCACCCTCCCGCCTCCGCAATCTGAACGCGGCGGTGGCGTCTTCCTGGTTTGGACGGCGCTTCAAGCTCTCAGAACGAGGCACCACCTTTTCGACTGAGCTCCGTGCCGGTACGGCCACATTCTTAACCATGGCCTACATCCTCGCCGTCAACGCCTCCATCGTCTCCGACTCTGGCGCGAATTGCTCCGTCTCCGATTGCCTCCATCCTTCTCCGTCCTGCAAATTCCCACCAGCTATCGATCCCGGCTACGCTGATTGCGTTGCCCGCGCTCGCCGCGACCTCATCGTCGCCACCGCCGCATCATCCGTAATAGGATCTGTTCTAATGGGTTTCTTCGCCAATCTCCCCATCGCACTCGCCCCTGGAATGGGAACAAACGCTTATTTTGCTTATTCCATTGTCGGTTTCCACGGTTCCGGCAGCGTGCCTTACCGCTCTGCCCTTGCCGCCGTGTTCATCGAGGGCGTTTTATTCCTTCTCCTTTCTCTTCTCGGCTTCCGCTCTCGTCTGGCCCGTCTCATTCCCCGCCCAGTTAGGTCATCGTCTTCAGTCGGAATCGGTTTATTTCTCGCGTTTATCGGCCTGCAGAACAATCAGGGCATAGGGCTTGTCGGCTTCAGCCCATCTACTCTCCTCACCCTTGGCGCTTGCCCGCGTTCTTCCCGCGCCTCCCTAGCCCCTGTCCAAACCCTTCCAAACGGCACCCTTTCCCTCATCCCCGGCGCCACCGTCTCCGGCGAGCTCCTCTGCCTCCACGGTCGCATGCAGAGCCCCACTTTCTGGCTCGCGGCCGCCGGCTTCCTCATCATCTCCTACTGCCTCATCCGAAATATCAACGGCGGCATAATCTACGGTATCGTCTTCGTCACCGCCATCTCCTGGTTCCGCGGCACCGCCGTCACTGCCTTCCCTGACACTCTCGCCGGCAACGAATCCTATGCTTATTTCAAAAAAGTCGTCGACTTTCATTCAATAAGTTCCACCGCTGGCGCCCTCAGCTTCTCCGACATCGCCCGCGGCCGTTTCTGGGAAGCAGTCATCACTTTTCTCTACGTCGACATTCTGGACACCACCGGCACTCTTTATTCCATGGCGCGCTTCGCAGGATTCGTCGAAGAGAACGGGGAATTTGAAGGGCAATACTTCGCCTTCATGTCCGATGCTACAGCTATTGTCGCCGGCTCGCTACTTGGGACGTCGCCGGTAACGGCGTTTATAGAATCGTCAACAGGTATCCGGGAAGGAGGAAGAACAGGGCTAACGGCGCTGACGGCGGCGGCGTACTTTATCCTTTCGCTGTTCTTCACGCCATTGCTGGCGTCAATACCTCCATGGGCGGTGGGGCCGGCGCTGATAGTTGTTGGGGTGATGATGATGAAGGCGGTGACAGAGATCGAATGGGCGGATATGAGACAGGGAATTCCAGCTTTCATAACTCTAATCTTGATGCCACTTACATACTCCATTGCGTACGGGCTCATCGGCGGAATCGCCGTATTCGTGCTACTCAACGCCTGGGACTGGGCGGCCGCTGCCATCAAGAAATTCTTGCCGGCGGCGACCAAGGTTCCCGAGGTGGAAGTCGTTAACATAGTGAATGCTAATGATTCAGTCGAGGTTTAGGCAAGACTAAGCACTGCAGTTCGTCTCGTTAGTCAACTTGGGTAATTGCTGCGCCATGGATCTTAATCTTTATATGTATTTGTTAACGGAGGAAGAAACAAAATTAAAGATTCATTGTCGTTTTAGAGAAGGAAGATTCCATGGGGTAAAATTTACAAAATATTGAAGACTCCATTGAAGAAATTGTATATACTATGTAATATGAATATGATGCATAAATATTATCAATTATAAATTTTGTTGTATCGTACAATTTATTTTTTTATAATAATAATAATAATAATAATATTTTTTTTAATACCATCAATGCTAGTTCTAAATTTGAATGAAAAAGCAAGTTAAATGATTTTTAAAATCACTAATTTGTTCTTGCATAGAAAAAAAATCAGATCTTTGAAAGGTACAAAGGACCTAAAAAATGAACAAAATGCAAACGAAAATTAAGAAAAAAAAAAAGTCATAAATCATAGAGGATCAAGATTGTTTTTCTCCATATGTTCATAGTCTTTATGGCATACAAGTTTTGTCTGATTAAAATCAGGAAAATATTAAAAGGACCTTTATAGCAGTAATAAAAAGAGAAATCTTCATACTCTTTCCAAAGGAGCCTGTCCTTCAATTTGCAGCATGAATAGAGACAGCCTAACAGAAACAAAGAAACCATATTTAAGCAGCACTGAAATCCATCACTTTCGAACAGCTGTTGAACGCATGTGTGTAAGAACCACTATCAAAGCTTCTTAATTGTTACAGTTCTTTGGCGGAATGGCTCAAACTGTTAGTCAAAAAACTTTGCCCTCCATTGTGTTCTTTTAAACGTGTGTTGCATATGCCGTAAGCTATTTTGAATCTTTTTACAATATCTATTTGGAAGCATTGAATCAAGCTTCCTTCCCTTTAAACAATTTTTTTTTTTGTAAATTTGATAGGCATTCATTAAATGTTTGTACAACTTAATGGAACAATGATACCCAAACTGAAAGGATGATGTCAAATGTTTGAGTTTTGAGCAAGCATGCCTCAACTCCAAAGAGAAATTATTCTGTGTGGTCACTGGATGCCGTTTGGAGGTGAAATCAAAATATGCCACGTTACTTTTTCCCTGTGTATCAGTATTGTGTACCGCTGTGTACCAGGTGACGTGGCGCATTTGATTCACTTCCGAACTATCCGATGACCGCTCATAATAATTTCTCACTGACTGTTTAATAGGGCCCTACTCAGCTAGTTTAGCCTCTTTAACTCCCTAGATAAGTGATAACTCTCTTTTAGGGAAAGAATATGGCAATGAAGGCTCATTTTTCTTTTGCATTGCTATTTGCTCCATTTTGGGTTTTGAGATGATCATCAATTGGCATTCTCATAAAAATGAAACGATGGTTCATGAAATTGCAGCTGAGCTTTGATGAAGATTGAAACACAATTGATTTATAAGGAATGCTCAACTACTTAGTGAAAAGGTTAATTTTGATAATTAATTTCAAATTGAGTAATTAATTCGTTGGTTAATTTATTATTTTGATTTTATGGATCATATTATTATGATTTTTTGTTTTTAGAGGAACAATATATCAATGTTGGATGATGTCTACTAAGATTGAGGTTGCAGGAAAACCTCTAATAATATAAACAATAGCTCTTGAAGGTTGTCTGGGAGCTCTTTTAGCATATGTTAATGGTGCTGAAAAGAGTATGCAAAATTATAATTAAAATAATTTTAAGTTGAAAGTCCCTAGATTTCTTGAGTACTATTTCTCTACATTATGGTTTGTATGTAAATTTGAAATCATAATTCTATCTTAGATGTACCAATCAAATAATGATGAACTAATTGATCTAACTGAGCAAATTATTTTTCTTAGATATAGTTTGAAACTTCATTTCTCAAATGAAATGGATAGAGTTGGATAACCAAATCCAAATGGAGTTGTGGATATGTTAAAGATGTTGACATATTTTTAGAATTTGCAAGTCTAATTAAAAACTTAGCACAATAAATTCTACGTCCAAGCAAATTATGCATTAACCGGTACTTCTATTATATAAAAGATGTTAAGGCACATTTACAAACCAAATAATTTTTTCCCTAGAATATTGTATGAAATAGACATGGAGAGAAATATGTTACTGTAGCTGAAGGTACCCCACATGAAACACTAATTGCTACCTCAAATGTTGAGGAAGTACCAATTAAAATTTAACAACCTAGCACAAATGATATAGCTAGAAGGATAATTAAGGGACAACTTCGGCTCAAGCAATGCCAAAATAAAATTAGAGGATGAACATAATGAGTTCAACATAGATCCACCAAATAATGATGTTATAAAATTTCATGAAAGATTTTTTTATCAATTGCTAGTGTTATTAACTAATGCTTTTTTTTATGGTGCTTTATGTAACAACACTATTTAGGATCATATGATTTACTAAAATTATACCTGTAGTAACACTATGGCATTATGCTTGTAGTAACACAATGGCATTATGCTTTCAAGCACAGTGACATTGAGAAGTGGTGCATGAGATTGGCACTTGGCACCACTTCTCTCTGTTCTACAGTAACTTTGGAATCACATACGGCACAATAGTGCTAGGCTACTTTCACGCTATATATATATATATATATATATA